GAATTGATACCCTGAACATGGATGTATTAGAGTTAGGAGATAGTGTAAGTTAAGGGAGACACACTGGAGTTTCTGACTGGGACTCTAACCACTTTTGCTATTAGTATTTCTCAAAAGTTGTACAAAGCGATGCCATCCAGATACGAGGCTCCCATTGTTCCAATAGGGTTCTGTGCACCTCAAAAAGCTTATTACTCTGTTTTAGTCATATAACTACTACATCTCAAACAAAACAAAAAGCCATTTGACTACTTGAAATTCTAACTCTGCAATTGTTAGATAATGGGAGCAGAACAAAATATTTTGAAAAACAAATGATTTGCGATTTTGCAATCTATGAGAGAAATTGTAATCACTGAATGAGCTGCCTTGCCAGCTGGCCAATTAAGATGATTAATTATTCTTCTAAAGATGTTCATCCTGAGAAACTAACACAAACACAGACACTTCAACTATTCAGGTCTGTTCCTCTATGCAATACTGCTTCCCTACTGTCATAGGTATAACTGCATGGCAACAGGATTTCTATCCAATTGGATAGAAGCTCCAATTGCTTCCAAGAATTTTATTTTAATCTGATAATTTATTATCATCATCATTATTAAACTTTTGTCTGAGTGGAATTGACTGTGAGCCTTTTTGAGACAACAGTTTGTTAAAATGTTAACAGTTCTAAGTTGCTCAGAACCCATGAGAGCCAAAAACAAACCAGAAAATAATAAATGGGAACCTGAGTGAGTATTAAACTGTCTGTATGTGCAAATCAGATTTATGAGATTTATTTGCCCAGGTTATACTTGCAGAAGTGGAAGAAACATAATTTGCAGTTGATAAATGTTTGTGCCACAATGCAGTTGTCATACTTTAAGGTTATCACAAAACTCTGTCACTTTCCTACAACAATCAAGCAATTATCCTTCCAGAATCTTCTAAGACAAGTCATTTGCCAGGCCCCTGTGAGAAACCACAGATCCTCCTCTGCCCTTGCTTTTAGCCCTAAAATTCATAACCCTTCTCCTGGGTTTGCCCATTTAACTCCTTTTGTCCTTTAGTCACCTCCTGTGGAAGAAATCATTGTCAAGTGCTCTCACACTGGTTCACTCCAGTATCTTCTGCTGGGGCCAAATGTACCTATCTGCAGTATTCAGGCTGCTAAACTACAAATCAGAATCTCCTCCTGTCATATAAGGCTATTTGTTCACTTGAGTCAGCAGATAAATTTACCAGATTAGGAAAAAGACTTGCAGCCCAATCCTTTGTACATTTACTTCCAAGGAAGTGAACGCAAGAGTTGCAGCTTGGCAGACTTTAAGCACCGGGGAGTTGTTAGGAATTTATGAACAACTGATGTGGGATTATGGGAAGAATTAAGATGGAAAGGTATAGGGTATGTTGCAAACAAAGTCAAATATTATTAGCAGAACAAATTTAAACTTACAATGGCCAAATGGAAGCTTTGCACTTCCATTGCGAAGGGGATGAAAGCAAGAAATGCTTTCATTCCAGCCAACTACTTAATTCTATATTTGAATTATAGACTCAACTAATGCAAAAGTAGTTCATGAATCAGTTGTGAAAAAGAAGGTGCTGAATTTTACACATACATCTAAATTTATGGTAGAGTCTATTTTCTGTTGCAGGCCTGGCAGACAAGGCAACCCAGAGGAATAGCACAATGGTTAATAGGCAAAGAAACTTGAACAGATCCATTTTCACTGCATTTATTCTAATCAGTTGTATTTAGAGAGAAATCCAGATTTCTTCATCTGGATTTCACCTTCTGGAGATCTAAACAAATGATCAAATGAGCTAACAAGCTGGTAAAATGGCATGTCAATTTATAAGCTTAAGATCAGATGGAAATATTCCAGCTGAATGGATTCAGTTCATAATATCAAGGGGCCTAGGAGAGGAGTGGGACACCAATCAAAGCTCAATGCCAACTGGTAAAATACGTATTTAGCCAAAATATTGAACAACAACATAACTGAATGCTGAGAAGTATCCAATGCATTCTATGCAATGTTGGTCTAATTGTCCCATTTATTTCAGTGGGTCTGTTCTAAGTAGGATGACTATTGGGCACAGCCCCAAGTCAGCCACATTACTGGGGAAGCAAAGAAAGACACAACCCTCCGTTTATTCATTCCTGATGCATTCGATGAAACTTACTGCTAACTAGTAGGGTTCTGCCTAAACCAAACCAGCCAGAATTGTAAGAGAACATTCTAGAACAGGAACCATGGTGGCAAAGCCTTTGGTTTGCTCCCTTCACTGCAACATCACTTTTAGCACTGACATGTGAGCAAGAAGCCAAGCCTAAAGGATACTTTTCAGTTGTACTGCCTAACAGCAGATACCCCAGATTTCAACACTAGCTAATCAAGCATAATGAAGCCTGTCTTGGCCATATTTAAGAGCTCTTCATGCCAAGGGATACTTCCAAAGTGTTTTTTGCCCAGGTCTGTACTTCGTCCATGCCTGGACACCCATTATGTAACTATTGTGGGATTCACCTTAATGAAGTTCACAACCAAAATAATAGAAGAAGCACAAAATGCCTCCCGCAGCCATGACTTTGAAGCCTGATTCAGGCTGCGATTCAATGCATCCCTACTTGAGAGTAATCTCTGTTGGAGTCAGGGAATCCTGGTAATCAGGCACAGTATCACACAGTCAAAATCACATTTCTAAAAGTCTTGTCGGGGAAAGCAACCTTCATGGCTACAGGTTCTGCGTGAAACGATTTCTCTACCTCTCGTTCTTTCATCCCTTCCCTGATTACCACATCTCTTTTTCCCTTGATATCAAAGCAGGTTCATAGTGTGTTGTATCTAATATTAGTCCTACTTAGAGTAGACCTATTGAATTGAATTGAACTAGGCTACAGTTAAAATCTTCACTACTCATTAGATTAACAGTTTGTAAGGCTCCAGAGGTATGGAGCTTTTGTGTACACACATTTCTTAGCAGCTCCCAAGATGAGGAACTGGTTCCAAGTTCACCCAAAGTTGAAGAGTAGGTGGGGGAGAGGGAGGAAGATTTTGTTCTGGCTCCTAAACAAACTCAAAATAAACTCAAGGGTGCTCCCCCTTCCGTTTGCCAGGCCATCACGTCAAAGAGAACGGCAACAGCAGCTGGCCTGAAAGCAAACTAAAAGAGTTGTGGTTGTTTTGGTTTTGAAAGTACACTACCCAGGCCACAAAGCACTCAGAACTAAACGGAGGTTGGCTGGTTGGTTTGTAAAAGCACACATATTACGGATGGCGTCTTAACAAGTCACATTCTCAGCTTTGGTTGCCCTGTCAGTGGGCAAGGAAAGGAGGGGAGATAATATTAATGACCACCATCTCCCATGGTGAGAGTGATTTCAGAGAATGCATCCTGCATCCGACTGAAATAAATGATGGGACTTCCAGTTGTTTTAATGGAGTTTCAGATGTTTTAAAAAGCCGCTCTGTGTTATGAGAAAGAACAAAGGAGAGCAGTGCTATCCGATTCTGTGAAACACAGAGTTAAAACAGTAGTCTGCTCTTTTCTCACAGTTGGTATAAATCTCCAGGAAGAGGCCATTTACACTGATTAATTTTAAAACCCAAGAATTCCGGGATGTTGTCTCTCTCAGAGACACCCTGACATTTTCAAGTACGGCTATTTTGTCCTGTCATTCTGTGTTGGCAAAAAGGAACACACCCGGTCACTCCCTTTCCCCTATCAGTCAGAAAGATGGACTTTTGCCACTGACTAGAATGGAGAAAAATAGGGAACTAAACTAACCCATTCATCACTAGCTTGGCTTACTAATTAACTAATGAATTTGGTCATTTTGGATTAAATTTCCATCTCACTAGCAGACCAGATCCTCAGTACAGGTTAAACTGCCTTAGACCAATTTTGGACTCATTATTAAGAACACTCACAACTAGGCTGTGCCTAATTCCAAAGACTGCAGTTAGGTGTCCCATACCCTGAATCCTGGACTGTAAGGAAAGGGATCCAGCCTTCCTTTGGAATTCCATGTAGTTCCAGCACAGGACAAGATCAGGGTCTTCAGTAAACACAAGCAGGGGGTGGGGGGGAGAGGCTACCAGTTTTTCTTCACTTTTAGCAGAGATGTGTTAGGTCCTAAGCACCATGAGGAAATTAATGCTCGACACTCCTTTTTAGGCCAGTGACAAATCTTTACAAAGAGGCTTGGTTGGCTGGCTGTTTTGTTGTGACATGAAAGCTTACGCCATAATAAATGTATTGGTTTTCAAGGCGCCACAAGTCTCTTTGTTGTTTTTGCTTCATTGGACCAACAAGCTTATTTCTCTAAAAATGATCATTTTTCTTAGCGAAAAGGGGCTGTATTGCATGGCAACAAGGAGAGCCCAGAGCCGCTAGAGCTTCAGGTCTCTCAAGCAATGAACAGTTCTGTCTATACATTTCTGAATGAAGGTAGCTCTGTTTAGAATTGCAAATGTCAGTGCAGTGATAGCACAATAATGCTTCACAATAAATACATTCTGAACAGTAAACCAACTTGGATTGTATGAGGCTGTTAGCTTGCATGAAAGCCCTAAGCTCTTATATTTTAATTGTATACCACTTATGGCTAAATCCAAAAATTTAGATTTTTTAATGAAATGTAATAGTAACACAACAACTTCACCACATTATATCCTTTCCAGTCCTGCCCCTGCCCAGTAGGAATGTAGATTTACTTACTATTATTCCCTTAGTTTTTTGTCTGTCTGTTAGCATATATGGCTATATGTCTACTTATCATTAAACCTCCTGAATAAGAATTAGGAAATGCGAGATTCCTCTTGTCCTTGGAGACTGAATATGGAATTTTGAATAAATAAAGTGGGACTGGGTGGTGAAGAAGAAGAAAGGAGAAAGAGAGGTGCCCAAACCACATAAAATACAGGTAAGCTATTCTCCCAGTAGCCATGAGGTGAAATGGACATGAAGAAACACTGGAGAATGAGAAGACTAGGGTGGAGGTTTCGCACCTGTTGTAGGGATTCCTCAGGAGCAAGGCCTGGCTGCCAGTGCAACTATCCGTAGGAGTGTGGCAGCCATAGACAGGGGGCGGCACTGAATATTGCTGGTCACCTGCAGATAAACCACAGAGAATTCAGTACCCTGCAGAAGAGCTGCTTTCCACTCCCAAGAGATTAAAGTCACACTAAGTGAAAACTAGGGAAGGTGTTTTTCTGGAGCAAAATTTTAAAGTGTGGATGAAGGCTGGCAATGGAGTAATCCTTTCCAGTTCACTGCATTTTCTGTAATCGTTTTCATCTATAGGGAGAACAAGACAACCCCTTTGTATTTGTAAAAAGTGTGTGACAGAACTCTATTGTTTAAAAGATGGTGATTGTTGGTTTTCCCGCTTTGCAGTATAGGTGGTTTGAGGACTGGCTGGTCAAAAATCCTCTATTTGGCATTCACCCCAAGCACAAACTGACCTTTATTTCTCATCTGCCCATTTGTAAATGGAAATACTGGCAAAATTTGTGATGCTGCCCTTAAAATGACTGAGATAATGTGTATTAAGGGCTAGTTCCAACTGTTGAACACTGAATCCTGACATGGAGAAGACCCATTGAAATCAATTAACAGGACCCAATTCATAATGTTAAAAATACCACTCACAAAAGTAATGCTAAGAATACAATCCAATTTAATCCTCATTAATTTCAACAGGGTTTCAAACTGGTGTTTTAACTTTGGCTGGATTATGTTTTAAAGTAGTTAGCCTGTCAGATTTAGTCCCTTACTGATTACTCTAGAACAGTTAAAGAATGGCATTTACTGTTCAGTTCATAAAACATTGATCCTAAATACAGCTTTTATGGAAACAAAACAGTTCTGCTGCTTCCAATGGAACTTGGTTCTCACTCAGTGCACCTTCACAGGTATATGTTTATGAACAAGTGTTCACTGAAATTTACTCCCAGGTAAGCATACTTACACTCACAGGTACCTGGGAGAAAATTCCATTCAGCTCCGTGGGACACTTCTGAATAGACATGCGGAGGATTGCTCTGGTAAGTCTCAACAACTTCAATCAGTCTACATAAGCTTGAAAAAAAAACCCAGTCTCTAAAGGTAGCTTTGTCTGCAGAAGTTCAGATTTTGTGGTGTAGGCTCAGAGGTCTTTTTATGGGGGTGTAGCTACTATAGCTACACAAAAAGGGAAAGTATTGTCACATTAGCTGTGATTTTCACTTCGGCTATCGGTTCCTATGCATTTCTGATTTCTTCCTCAGAGCTACTTCCATTTAGTTCCCACACAGCCCAGATAATTGAGAACTGTCCTTTGCAACCAGACAGCCCTACCTTCCTTTAAACAGCCCCACAACCTCTTGCCTCAGCTAACTCCCATTCCTTGGGAGGAATTTTTATGCAAGTTCTCCCAACCCTAGGCCAGGATCCTCTTCCTGGGCAAAGTAAGCACTTCTGCTTCTGGCTACGGCTGGGATCCCCATCGCTCACCCAGAAGCTGTTTCTGCTCCCAGTTACCTAGAGATGTCTGTTGGCCGATGGGGTCCTCGTGCTTGAAGGAGTGGTTTGTAAACTGTGCTGCATGGTGAGAGGGAGTATGGCCATAACTTGGAGTGCCATCAAACGCCACTGTGCCGTAACCTGCCAAGATAAAAAACATTGTCAGGAATCGGGAGCTGAATCACGCCTGCCCTTGAACTTGCTCATGGAGTGGCTTCCTGGAAAAAAAAATACATATCCTGTCCCCAGACAGGCGGGCAGGCGTCGAAAGCCCAAAACTTTTCAAGCGCCTGATGGCTCCTTTCTGGAAGAAGAGATACACTAGCACAATGAACTCTGATAAACCCATCAAAGGAAAAGACCAAAATAGTTCAGTCAGGAAATACAGCCACAACAGTTCTAGTTTTGGGAATGTTTACGCAACCACCCCCTTTTTACCTTCAGCTTCCAAACTGGGCCTGATGGAAGGCAACATTTACTTGCCACAAAACCGCCCATTTAGATGACAAAAACTAGGTGCTAGAAGTCAATCCAAATCTGAGGGATGGATTAAATTACTTCATCCATGCAGTGCCCCCATTCCCCTTTCATAAAGTGGCCATAATACAGCTTCTTTCAGAGAAGAGGACATGAGTGAGTAGAACGCACTCAGGCACTGTGCTGCAGAAGCTGGGAGTATGGGAGAACTTACAACCCTAGGACCTTCCTATGTTGGTGTCAGTGGGACTCCCTGCTAAGTTATAACCACATAGTAAGCATGTTTATTTGAAAATGACTTGTGTTTAGGAATCAGTGCTCCAGTCAGGCTGTTAGAATAGCACGGCTCAAAGACTGCTGTAAACTCTGGAACGTGTGTGAAATTTTGGATACTCTTGAAAAGGGTGGACCTGGCTGCTTCCAGCAGTTAGCGATACTTCCATTAATTGTTCCTCATATTTAAAAGAAGGTCTTCATCTGTTGAATGAACTCTCCTGCAGTTTCACATCTAAAAGTCACCCTTTAATCTCATTTTCTCTGGGTTCTTACTTGTTTTATATGATTAACTTTCTGAAAAGTCTGCAATAAAAATGGCAGACTGTTAAATGAAAAATAACCTCCTACTTTAAGCGAAAATTGCTCACTCGAATAATAATAAACAGCCTATTAAAAAAAAACAGAGAGTGAATTCAGATAGAAAAGAATCGCCTCTGGTGACCCCAAGGTGACACCAAATCGTAAATCAGGCATTTAGACACCAACTTTCATTAATTACTTGGAGCCAGTTAAACAACTTCAGCGAAAAAGTAATTACAAAGTAATATTATCTTTGAGGCTTCTCAGCTCATCAGCATTTACCCCAAGACCAAAGAATGTTTAGTGTAGCCCTTATGAGATCTGTCCCGGCTTTCCCAATCACGCACAACATGTTGATTTTAAACAGATAGACAGATAAACAGACAGAGATAGACAGCTAGTCAGACAGACAGAAGGGGGTTCCCTAGAGCTCTCAATTATGCTTTAAAATGAGCTATTTCTAATCATTTTTCTAAGGCTGTAATCCTATATATGCTTATCTGGAAACAAGTCCTATATGAAGCGCAATATGATTTACTTTTGAGTAGACCTGTATCTGATTCGAGCAACAAATAGACTTATGGAACATCACATACTAACAAATTGATCCTAGCTAGGGGTTTCTTTTTTGGGGGGAGTGGGGGAGAGTGATGAATAAAGCTTATGCCCTAATCATTGGGTGCTACAAGATTTATTGCTGGTTTTGCCACAATAAGTGAACACAGCTACCCTTAGGAACCCACCTTGGATTGTGATGAAATCTGCCAATCCTTAGAAAACAGGCTTGATTATGGCACTGCGATAACACACTGCACAAAGATTATGCCACAAGCAAGTAAATGCTTTGTAGCAGAAAGAGTTGGAAAGTGCCATTTGCACCTGAGCAATCCCTGCGGTTACAACCTACTACTCCACTGAATGCACTGGACTAAACTTTCACCACTAGAAAAGCTGTTTCTTCAACAGACAGTAGATCAGTCATTATGATAAAGATGGATGTTAGATGGACTGTGACAAAACTGATACTTAAGAGAGAGGAGAGAAAGAAGTTTCTGGACTGTGCATGTGAATAATTCACTAACAATCCACATGCAACCCAATCCACAAACTTCTTGGGCGGGGGGGGGGGGGGGGAGGATACAGAAGACCATTTAGACCTCTACCCATAAACTCATCAGGGTAAAATTCAGGGTGGGCTCCCATAGTTCACTGCTTTACAGGGCTGGCACAGCCTACTCAGTGATTAACATCCTAGGAACCCAGTTTTGAACAAGTATTTGTGTTAGCCTAACTAAAACAATAGAAATATATATACACAATTAATCTTAAGTTTCTTTTATTTTAATCAACAGACATAAATACAGATGCACACAACCTTGGTAACTGTTTGGCTGGGTGCTCATGCTGAAGAATGAGCCCTGCTGGCTATCTTCTTGAATTAAAATTTCACCCCAATTTAGAAGTAAACATCCTATGCATATTTACCCAGAAGCACTATTTATGTACTAAGCTTAATTCCTACTAAATGTGTCTGCTAGTTGTGAATTTCCTTGAAAGCAAAACCCATCAAAATCCAATTTGTAGGGCTGAAATCTACAAACCCTCTGTGTCTTTGTATTTTGTCTATACTGATTCCTCAACACATCATTTGGAAATAAAGCCAAAATATTTTATGTGGGCATTTTGAAGATTAGAAAATTGGGATCAGGCTTCAATTAAACTAATAGTCCCTACCTGCAGGTGTTTGCTAAATCTCACTAATCTGAACAGAACCTTTTCCAAGTATGATCCAAGCTTGGATCATAATTTTAAGCTGCTGTCCTAGAGAGCAAGTTATACAAGATTCCACAGCCTGCTGAAGTGCCAAGGAATCTACTGGGAAGCAAGTGGTCAGTGTGCTCTGGTTTCATTGCCTTAAGATGTCAGCATTCCGTGGGTTAAGTGTCTGCACCCAGTTTTAGATGGTAGATGTTCTCATAGCCATATCCCAGCCTTTTTTAGTAGCATGACTAGGTACCTTTAGACCCAGGATTTAAACTATCATGCTGCGTCCTCCTTTAAATGGCCCTGCGCACTACTTCATTTGTGAAGCACACAACTCACATTTCTCTTCACCCCATCACCCTGCCACCTTTCTGTTTTACAACAGTTCTTATACTCCCAATGTATTAGAAAGAAAGGGAGAACCACCTGTATACTTACTCTGATTTTTTTTAAAGGAGATACTCAGAACATGTTCAGTTTTGCATGAAAAACTCACTTCAATTGAAATACCATCAGCACTGTCAGAATAAAACATAGTTTGGATCTGCTTCCCTGATGCAATGCACAGTATTTTTATTCGTTCATCCATCCATCTCTGTCCAATAGTCAAATATTTCTGGGTGGTTCACAACAATTCATAAAATTACAATCCATAAATACCGATAAAAATAACATAACGTAAAAATAACATAACGTTCCAAGATGCAAAATTGAAAGAATTTTATTTGGGAGTAACAGTTTATTAAAGAAAACGATGTGTTTAAAGTAAAAATAATAAAGTATCTGTAACCATGCACATGCCTGACCAGCCAGAATATGTACTTACGTACATGTGTGCATGTTAAGGCTGACAGGGCTCCTGATGCCAGGCCTATCTGCAGCTGCCTTGCTCACCTGCCACTCTCTGGCTGGCAATTAAGGAGGGCTGATTTCTGGGTCCCAGGACTTTAGTCTCACGCTCCCGTCCCAGCTGCAAACCTGAGCGAACTAAATTTTAAAGCAAAGTACTTGAACTTAGCTGGTTGGTGTCCAGCTAAGGACTTACAGGCACTGCTAATCCTAAATATATTTATCTTGGGATGAGTCTCAACTCCCAGTTCTTGGAGGGTTTCCTTGCTCCATGAGTCTACTTCTGCAATTAACTTTCCAACATAATTTTTGGAAAACTATGAGCCACTCTGCTCCATGGGGCTCGCTCCCGACTTACATGTGGATCGGACCACAGATTTGTGTCCAGGTCAGGACGCAATGGACTCTGTGCACAACATCGAGACTGGCCATCTTATGGCTTAGGATGCTGTTCCAGAATCCCCGCTACTGCAGCCACCTGGGTGCGGAGACGATCGGGCCCGAAAGCCAGGCCTCGGAAGGGAAGGCAGGCACGCCGCGCGGGCAGCCAGCGGGCCAGCAGCGGGACCCGGGGCCGAGCGGGCCCCCCCGAGGCGGCGGCGGCGGCGGAGCAGCTGCGTGCGTGCGCCCGGCGCGTCCTGGCGCTCGGCGTCCCTTGCTGCTCTGCCTGCGGAGAGCGATGACAGGGCCCGGCCCTCGCCCTCGCCGGCTCCACCTGCGCCGGGCTGCCTTATCTCTCTCGGCTCCTAACCCGCAAAGTGAAGACTTCCCCCTCCTCTCGTTATCCCTCCTTGTTGCTTTCCAACTCTCTCCCAAAAACAATTGACACTTCAGATCTGAGGCGACTCTTGGCGCACAGGCAGCGCTTCGGTGACCTTCAAAATTCTGCTCCGAGCAGAATGATGTTTTGGCCACATTTTCCGGTCTTGCCTGACCCAAAGCTTCAGGAATGCGATAAGGGGGCTGAGTTCTGAACCAGCCTGCTGATAGCGAGGTCTCTTTAATTAGGACTTTATCAGAGGCTGAGCTGATTAAAACCTGCTGAAAATAATTGAAATCTGGACATCTGATGAAGAAGACAAATTTCTGAAGGGGTCCAATTGTTGGAGGAACCCAGCTGCATGTAATAATGGAGGGCAAGGGAAGCGGGAGGCAGACGAGCAAAACAATTCAAAACAGGAGAGCTTTTTCTCGTCCAAGACTTGGCAAAAATGCCAAGGTGACATCTTTCCCACGGTGGGGAAAACCATCTTAAAAACCTACACTTCAGCCTTGACTGATTCAAAGCGAGAACATTATATTCATTTCCCAAAGATCGTCTGCCAGCTTTTCCAAATTCTTGCCAGCCCCTCTGGGAGTTGATGTCAAGCAAACTCCCCTCCTTGCATTTGCCAAAGCAGGGAAGAAGCCGGCCTTGTTTTTACTTTACACTATCATTAAGGTTTTCTTCTACACCGAGTTTCTAAAATATTTCTCTTCCTCAACATTGTTCTTCTGAAGAAGGAACGGAAATAAACACAAACTACCACTTCTTCCTCGCTTCCAAGCATATAAGGAACGGAATCTACCTATGAATCTAGCAGACTAGTCACTCCAGGGCATCAAGGTTCCTCTTGCCATACGCCCCAGATGGCTCATGCCATCAAGTTGCAGTGATGATTATGGACTTTCTTCTTGACATCAGCATAAGCGCAGAATGAATATAAAATTAGGTAGCCCAAATTCTTACAAGCTTACCGAAGCTGCTAAGGAAAACGATTGTCTCTTAAAGTTCTATTTTAATCTAACATAACTGTGAGCTTCTGTGTCTCAGATTTATATACATGACTGCAAAAGTTATTCTATGAATTGTCTTGTGGCAAAAAATACATAGTTTATTTAGCACTTTTAAACAACACTAATTTAACTTTTTGAAAAATAAAATTAACTATAATGTTAGTATGGAAGAAAGCAACGTTCTGGATCAATTGTGGTTATTTTTCAACATTATTTTTATTAACATATAAATGAAACATTCTGTCATGGAACTGTTTGATTCTCTTTGCATATCTATTTCCTTCAGCTAATTTAATTTAGAAATACTTTTCTCAACAACTAGATAATAATCAAGATCTACTATTAGATATGGGTAGTCACAGAAAAATAAATGTATCAAGGAAGGTGACTTTTAATCCATGAGTTATACAAAGATATCATGCAAGTGAATTCCAGTTAAAGTTATATGAGAGAATTTTAGTATAACAGTGTTTCCCATCCATACACACAGAGGGAAGAGGAAAGTGAAAATATTATGCACAGACAATTTGATAAATAAAGCAACAGAAATGCCCTGGGACTGACATTTTAGAATTAGTTCAAAATTGCAATTGTGCTTTTGATTCTTTTCTGATAGCCAAACTGATCAGAAAATACACAGATATATTCACTCTTACAGTGCAGCATTATGTAAATCTTTCTCTATATCAAGCAGCATTATTGTGTGAAATTAACTAAGGACACTAAATTGCTTCAGATATCATTGGTGTGTCAGTCAAATATCAGAATTCTAGCAGAGCAGTGTTCTTAAAAAAAATGTCATTAATATACATGCAAGAAGTTGGGCAGGGAAGCAGCTATTCATAAAAGGGAGCGGTTTCCCAAAAATAATGAAAGGTACTGCCTTTATAAACTAACCTTTTGGGCAATATAGGCCAGCTTAAACTATTGAAACCTACTAACCAGGTAGCATTTCCCTCTTCAAGACCATTATCAATTATAACTCATTTGGTAAAACTTTAAACTTTACAATAATGTGTGAGTTTTTAAAGAATGTGTAGGTTTAAAAAAATAAAGTACCATGATCACATTTTAAAGAGTTAAATCAATGAAACAAATATCTTATTAGAAATTAATTATGCTTGCTGTTGCTCTGCATTGTTCAACTACCATAATTCAAAGACTCTATTAATATTAAGTCAACAAAGGAATTCCTTGCTTTGCTTCCTACAAGGATACAATTGTTCTGAAACACTGTAAAATATATTAGTGTAACTGGTCAAGTACCAAAAGCAAGCATAAGTAATTATGGAATTCACATTATGGATCTCCTTGAAATCATGGAATTATATTGTGTTTCCACTTCACACATTGCTCAGGTGGGCTACTGCCTGAGAAAACTGTGCCACAGTAAATCAATTAGGGCACAATCCACCTGAAACTTGTAGGCACAAGCCCCATAAGTGCAAGCTGCAAGGATTAAGATGTTTATTGTTACAAATTTTTGTTTTATCCACTTGTACTAAAGTTTCAAGATTTTCCCTGAAAAAACTCCATTCTCATTCACACAGAGAATGGTTTAAATGGAAGAAGTTTAGAATTTTAGTTAAGAACTTATTTCAAGCTGTTTCTAGTTCCCTCTCTTTTCCAACACCTACAGAGGGGAAGGATAGCACTGTGCAAGAAAACATCACTTTTGTCCAGCTACAGTCTAGTGAAATTAAAATGCTTGCAAGTCATGGGATTTTAATTGTACTGTGCATGTTATTTGTATATAGGTCCATCTGTGATTAATGGGGCTTACTCCCAAGTAAGCGTGCAAAGGATTGCAGTCTCATTGTGCTTCTCCAGGTATGACTTCCCTCCCCCCCCCCCCCCCCAATCAATGGACCTTAACATTTCCAGGTAAAATAATTCAGGGCTCAGAGGTTCCGGGACATGAATCCAAGAATGCCACCTTTTCAACAGAAATCTGCTAAAGTTACACTGCAACTGCATATATGCCAACTCAGAAATAAGCTCTACCAAATTCAGGAAATTTAATGCCAGATACATGTGTTTTGGATTGCAATGATGCTTTCATATAAATATGGGCAGTAATTTTATTATTTTAGTCTAGTAATCCACAGCGACCTGTTATTACAAGGAAGACTAAAAATATAGTAATGTTCAGGACTGGATTGCCAAATGCCACCTAGCAGACTGATCTCCAAACAACCACCTCTTTTAACCTCTACCTCTAACATAGTCCTCGACATTTGTTCTATGTGCCTAGTCAGAGAACCATTGTCTAAATAAAAATCACAAATCAACACAACTCTGTAACCCTGTCTAGTTTTAGCTTCTTCAAATAAGTGGACAAAGCATAGTTAAATGTAAATTCTCTCTCCCCCTTCTTAGGTTTGTTTCAGGTTGCAGAAAACAAACTTAAGTTTATCATCAATATCCACCCTATGAACACTGTTTATTATATGCTGGATACAAACACTGATTTTTATGGAACAAACCCCTGGAAACCAATCCTAAATTCCTGTAGATATGTCATTTGCATGGTTTCATATGTATCTGTCAGGATAGCTTCAAGGACAGGCAGTACCACAACCTGTTCACTTACAAGGAACAAAGTGTGCATGTGTGTTCAGCCCACAGATTTTTGCAAATACCAGTCTCTACAGGATCAAAAATAAATCAAACCTGCTAACTGACCTGAGAAATGGTATCAGTAAGAGTTATTGAAAGCAATTTGCATAGTCACTAAAGATTTATTTCCATGGAAACTTAACAACAGGACAGTCCTATGAATTTAAGATTCAAGAATTCAGTAGATCTTACTCCCAAGTAAGTGGTTATAAGCTTCAATCTTAAACATACTAACTTGGAAGTATATCCTATTAAAATGCCTATTTAAATAAAAATGGGCAATCAGTGTAATCCCAATGATGGGATTGGGATTACACTGATAGCCGCATTTAATACAATGGAACTTGCTTTTGAGGAAAAATGCACCTTTATACCCCTAAATACAGTTATTAAAATAACCAAACTCAGAATAAGAATTCCACTGTTAGAAAACTTTCTTTGCCTTTCCCAAAACATATTTATTTTTTTCCTCTAAAGCCTGTTACAACAAGAAAATATTGGATGGGCTTGTACTTTATCCAGTTTTGTAAAATCTAGAATGCATAATGGTGAAAATGGGAGTTACCATAAAATATTGCCTGCAATCCACTTCCCACTGAAATCCATGCTAAATATTTCATGGACTGTAGTAATTTGGGATTGCACACAAGTAAGAAGCACTTGCAATCTTCAAACCTCTTATCAAAGAATACCCTCATCGGGTACCTCCAGTGAGGGTGCTCTGACCTCCCCTGATTAAAAGCTCTGTGGGGTTCATGTTGAAGATGGAAACCCATACCTGTTAAATCAATATGCATTTACCTGAATACACAATAAAAATTCACAAATCCCTGAATCACCTATATGTCCCAATCCAAAATCCATCATATATCCAGTAAATTCTTAAGAGGCCAATCCTATACATGTCTACTCAGAAGTAAGTCCAATTCAGTTCAGTGGGAATTACTCGCATACAAGTGCATGTAGAAGCCTTAATATATAGTTTGTCCTTCAGGTAATGTCAAATGGGTATCCTTTGTAAACTAGCTATACCCACTCAACCCAGAACCCATCTAGAAGCATGCATCAAAAATCTATTTTATCTGAAAGGTGGAGATTTCTTCAACACTTAACCTTACTTTACAATCCTGCAATCTTACGCATATTTGAGTAAAAATGACAGCTCATTAGAGAGTCAGCCATCAGAACGAACACCCATTAGATTCCATGCAGACGTACTGAGAATGTGCCCACTCGTCCTCACATATTCAGTGGGACTGTAATCCCAGGCACACTCACTCGGGAGCGGGGCTGCGGTCCTGCCCACGCTTAAGCCACTGCATCCAGCGGCACTTGCTTTCGAGGAGACACGCACAGCCGCCACGCGGCAGCTCGTGCGCTCGGGACCACACTCGGCTCGCCCCCTTGGAAGCGCGCCCGGCTGAAATGCGCGGGACTTGCTTTCCGTACAAGCACGGCGGGGCTCGGCCAGCGCCCATGCCCAGCGCTTGCCCAACCATTAAGTCACCCGGGCCGGTGGCTCGAAAGAAAGACGGCAGAAGGCGGACGGTTCGGTTCGAGTCGAGCTGCAGCTGCAGGGCTCGTTTGGACGGGGTTTCGCAGCTATGCCGCCGCCGCCCAGGAGCGCCGCCAAGCAAGCCTTGGGCGCCGGCACGGGGCAGCCCTCGCTCCGGCGCAGACCTCCAGCCAGGCGGGCGGGCAGGCAGCGGGGCAAGGCAAGGAGCGGGGAGAGCCCGCGGGGCAGGCGCCGGGGGCGCGGAGCGCACGGCGCGCTTCCCCACGCCGCGCCCCGAGGGAGCGCACGCGCGGGCACGCCTCGCCCGGCCGGCCGGCCGGCGCCGCCTTACCTTGGTTGCGCATGGCCTGCTGGCTCTCCAGGCAGTTGGGCAGGTAGGGGCCGTTGGGGAACATCCGCGCCTGGCCCGAGGGCGCCTGGCTGGGCGGCGGCGGCGGCGGCGGCGCGAAGGGGCCGTAGCGGCAGGCGCCGGCCGTGCCCGTGAACTGCCCCGAGAAGTGGACGGTGAAGGCGCTGAGGCACTGCTCCTCGTGCGGCTCCGAGGCGCTCCAGCTGGGCTCCTGCTTGATGAAGGCCGAGTGCGGCGGCGCCAGCGTGCCGTAGGAGGCGCCCGGCGGGAAGTCCAGCACCGGCGCCCACTGCGCCGCGCCGCTCACCGGCATGGGGCAGTTGCCGTTGCCCGGCAGCGACGGCACCGACGGCGGCAGCAGCGCGTTCAGGTCGCGCACGTCGGAGCCCATGGCCTCGCCGCACACTTTGCGCCGCGGCGCCGCGAACCACTCGCCGCCGCCGCCGCCTGCCCCGCCGCCGCCGCCGCCGCACTTGTTCCAGGCGCTTTGGCTCCTGCCCGGCTCGGGCTGCAGGCACCAGGCGGCCGAGCTCAGCCCCTTCGGCGACGCCGCGTCCGGGTTCGGCAGGCACGTCCCCGGCTCCAGCCCTGCGGGCGCCGGCAGAAGCGAGAGCGCGAGGTTGGGCTCCAGGGTCGCCGCTTGGTGCGGCCGGCAGCGGGCGCGGCTTGGCGGGCGGGCGGCGCGCAGAGGCCCGAGGAGCGCGGCGGCGAGGGAGGAGGCGCGGCGCCCGCTGCCCGAGCGCGCCGGGGGCCGCCGCGAACTTCTTACCTCGGCGGCGGCTGTGCCCTCGAGTGCCCAGCGCGCGGCTAATTGAGCGGGGCTCCCGCGCGAGGCGGGCGAGGAGGAGGAGCCACCCGCGGCGCGCGCCCGCCCGCCCGCCTGCCTGCCCAGCGCCGGGGGCGCAACCCGGCGGCGCGGCGCGGGGAGGGGAGGGGAGGGGGCGCTCGCTCGCTCGCTCCCAGGCGCAGGGCCGGGGGGGAGCGGGGACACTCGGCCCTCCCTCCCCCGCCCGCGCGCAGCCGCCGCCAACCCGAGACACTTTCTCAGCCTCCCCCGCACGCGCGCGCAGCCGCACCCTGGAGGGGCTCGGCGGCGCCGAGGCGCGTTGCGAGCCGGCTGCCGGAGTCCCGCGGTGCAGCCGCGAAGGGCAGGGCAGGACGGCCGTGCGCCGCAGGTGGCGCGGGGATCGCCCCGGGGAAGGGCGGCGGGCGGGAACGGGCTCGCCGCCTTGAATCGCGCCCGGGAATCGCGCCCGGCTTCCGCCAAGGAGCGGGGCCGTGGGCAGTGCTCAGCGGGGCGCGCCTCCGACGCGCGGCCGCTCCCCTTGCGCCGCCTTCGGCCCACCTGCCGCCCACCGGCGCCGCGCTGCTCCAGGAGGCGCAGCCGGGCGCGCCGCGAACCTCCCTTCCGAGCGCTGCCCGGGAAGGCGCTGGCGTGGCTTTCCCGGCCGCTGAGCGGCAAATCAGGGAAATCTCTGATCTCACCCTAGGCTCGAGCAGAGGTCTTTGAAAGCTTCTACATACACTGTTAAGAAGCTGGAAGAGCCCTGCTGGACCAGCCCTACAGTCGGCTCCCACCGTGGCCAGCCAGAGATCTCTGGAAGTCCACGGGCAAGGCGGGAGGGCAGGCTGTCGCCTTCTTCCGCTGTAGCTCCCAGGCGACAGGTGCTCAGCAGCCGGCTGCCTCCGATCCTGGAGGAAGCACAGAGCCATCGCACGACTAGCAGCCGCTGATCGCCGTCTCCCCTTCTTCCGGGGTTCTGCCTAATCCGCCGTTAAAGCGGCGGGAGTTGGCGGCGCTCACCGCCGTTCGTGGAATCGAGTTGTTAAGTGGTGGAGGGCAGAGACATTACGCCTCCGCAGCTGGGAAGGGTGTGCCTGGTGGTGCGGCGGCGGGGAGCGGGATGGAGAAGGATCCGTCGAGATTCTAACCGAACGGTGGAAAGAAAGGGAGTGAGGCTTCAAGAAAGCGTCTCTTTCCTTCGCGCGCAGAGCGCCCACCGATCGTGTCGTTAATCTGGCCCCAAATAGTACAGCCGTTCTCCCTAACCCGGAAACCTTCCAAGTGGGTTTGATGGCATATCCCTTCAGACCCACCTGCCATGCCCAATGATCGGGATTGCTGGGAGATGCGGTTCAAAATGTTTGGAGAGCAACAGGCTGGGCAGTGCTGAAGCGGTGGAGCGGGGACTTTTATTGTCCCGGATCTGCATGATCCCTTCGTCCTGGAGGCTTCAAGTCCTGCGCCCAAATCATAGAAAAGTTGCTCCACCGTACAGATGGACCAAGCCACTTTCCTCAATCTTGTCCAGTTTTTTTATTATTTTCCCCCAGCAAACACCCTCTCCTTGCTCGCCCCTTTGGTTCCCCTTCTCCCTTTCGAAAAACCTTAAGTATGTTGGGTGAAAGCTGTAAGGCCGCGCACACGCTCTCCGACGTCAGGCTTACGGAACGCAGCAGCATGTGCTTCGGAGCAACCACGTGCGTGGATTTGCGCTGCTGTTAGTCTAAGGGCAAGACTGGAAGAAGGGCGCACTCAGCGAAAGGGGAGCCCTCTTGCTAAGGCTCAGCCGCCTTAGCAGCCTCTTACATTGGCGACGCCGGCGAGAGAGCGGGGGGGGACTAAGCCCCCCCCCCGCTTTCTGGAGCGCTGAAGGAAAGGTACCACCAAGGTGCTCGCCCCCGTCGCGAAGGGCCTTCTCCTCGCCCTCTTTCCCTCGCCATTGCGCCTTTGGTCGTCTGCTGCGGTCTGCATCGCCCACCTGCCTACAGCTCCGGCATTCGGGCGCTTTCATGGGATTTGGATGACGCGCACCCGACAGCAGAATACGGCCACTTTGCCAACATGGGTCGTAGGGAAGTAGCACTGGATAACACCAGGTTCGCTTAGAGGGACTGATCTAAGAAATCCGGGTGAACAGCGTAGAGGATGAAGCGGGGCCTTTGCAGACCGAGTGCATTTCGTTCACTGCTGCGCATTGTTTTCTCTATTCAGACTCGGCACCTTGAATCGAATTATGATTATGGGGGAATTGTTTGTTCTTGCTTTGTTCTGGACACATTCATAATTATTTCTAGGTATTACTTCATGGCTCAGGAAGAGCAAGAATCAGGAGTCTTCTTGTAGTACCTGATCCACCCACACGCACGCCACAGTATTCTTTAAGGTGCTGCAATCATCTTATTGAATTCAGTCATCTTGAATTCTTAAGCACAGAAAAGTGCTTTATGGGCATCAAATCCATAATCCTGTGGAGAGAAGGATGGTGAAAGATAATGAGTTTGCCCATTTGAACCTTGGTCTAAATCCATCCTATTGTCTAGGTAAAATGGTATCCTGAAGTCACAGACACGTTATCCAACTAAACTCTCACTCCTTGACTTGGAATCCTCTGACCTTAAACTGCAAGTCCTTCTTTTAACTCCTGGTCCATGTGAGCATTCTGACTGGGAAGGACGGTAGGGACGAACTGGAACAGAAGGCGCTGTGGGATGGTCCTAGAGCACGGGTGGCCGGCCACCTCCTGTCCTCCTGCCAGATCGCCCACCACCAGCACAGCCCAGCTGGTGGCCCAGACATGTCAAAAGGGCCTCAGGTTCCCAGCAGTTGGGCTGAAGTACTGAGTTTGGTGATTTTGGACAACTGCTTTCCAGGGTTGCTATGAGGCATGAATGATTGCTCTGAATTCTTTGTAGGAAGGCCAAAGAACACATAACAGCAGGGAAGGTGGGAGTAAAGAGGCTTCTGTGTGACATTTACTCTATTGATTTAAATGCGCACTGACCAGTTGTGCACCAATTTACATGCACCAATTTATGGACGATTGAATTTGGATTACAAAGTTACGGTGCTTTAGGGAGCATGAGAAAATCATCTTTAGATTTCACTGTGCTGTATTTCATTGGTTTTATTAGCAGCCATCCACAAGGTCATGTATTTCTCTGCTCAAAACTGACCTCCTGAACCAAGATACTAATGGGGATCCTTTCTTTGAAAAAAGAAAAAAAGAGGAAAATCATATATTCAGCAATTGTTCCTTGATTTCCATGGAACTTTCTTCCTAGTAAATCTTGCAACTCAGAAGCAGTGTTGCAATCACTCACCTAAGGGTAAAGTCTATTAAACTAGTGGCTCTTACTTCTGACATGGATGCGCAGAATTGCCATTATCCGAAGCTGATGGAACTTATGCTCAAGTTTGGAGTATCACAGCCTCAAGATGGCAGCCTGAGCTGTTTTTGACATCTGGCTCTGATGACAGCTCCTAGTGGATGAAATTTAATGCAATAAACTTACCGGTGTATATTACAGAAGAGGAAGCAAAATGTTGCAAATCACTCTTCTAGTGTCACCAGCAATTTTTCAGCAGGTATTAAAGAACCTAGTTAACATAACTCTCTCCAGGGAACTGGGTTACTTGGTACATGAAAAGGGCAACATCTAAAGTTTCAGACTTACTTTATCACTTTAAAACCATTGAGAACGTATGTAGCCATCTGCACACTTTTTTGAAGCAGAGTGTAAGTTTTTTATACCCAGAATTGCTGGAATGTTTTGCTTGCTTTAAGAATATGTAGGACACCTCCAGTTTCTGTGTGATTTATTTATAATGAATTTGTATTTTCAGCAACAGACTATATTGTGTTTGGAAAGTGTCTGCAGATTTCTTCATTCTAAAATATAACACCTATTTATTTCTCAGTAAAATCAAAGCATCCCATCAGACCAATTAAGCAAAATTGTTTTGTCTTCAGAATCACTTTCCAAACCCTGGGATATGGTTTTGAAGGACAAATACTTTGCTCTCTGTCTTCCCCTCCCCTCCCAAAGTGTTTTGGACATGCTATTCCAGAACAGGCCAAATTGAATTTTGGTAGGTTTGTACATTTCCCTTCTTAAATTAAAACCAATGGCAAAATAATAAATCACAATTGTTTATGGTTGTGCAAAAATACATGCCTGCTTCTGCTCCCACATAAATAGGGGATTTGACATAAGGGCAGAGCATACATGGTTAAGTTCTGGCAGATGATTTCTGGATTGTCCCTGTTCCACTCATACTCTGTTCTGGAATAAAGCAAACTAGCAGTCCAGGGAGATGGGTAATTTCAAATTATTGCAATAAAACTTAATAAAGTTGGAGACTTCTTCAATGAATCTAAAGTTTCTTTTTCCAATATGAATGTTATCATCTTCAGATTACTCAGTTCAGCTACTGTGTAATCAGAAGATTGTCTTGAAGGCACTGATGATCTCAACAGATGCCACCAAATAAAATATACTGACCCTTGTGGCGAATTGGAACAGCAAGAGATCGCTTCCAAACCACTTGCACTCACACGACTTTGGGTTGGCAAAGTAGCCCAGTTAACTGGACTGGCCCAAGGCATT